GAGCGCGTTGGGCCGCGAGTGCCAGCCTGGCCCTGGGCTCTGCCCACCTGTTGGCAGTTTGTCTCGGGCTGGCACAGACCTCGAGCGAGGAGCCAAGGCGGCCTCCGAGGGTGGCAGCTTCAGGCAAGGTCAGAGACGTCCGGTCAAGGCCAGGGTTGCCCGTTGCCCCCCTCCCCCCCGCCATGGGTAGGATTTCAAGCGCCTGGCGGGCGCCCTTGGTTGGCAGCCAGGCGGGAAGCGAGACGTCCCGAGGAGCCCTCCTGCTCCCGGCCCGCCCGCCCGCCCGCCTGCCCCGGTCCCGCACCGCTGTCGGGCGCCCTCTGCAGCCCGTGCCGCCGGCCCTGGTACTGGAAGAGGAGCTCGCTGCGCGCCTCCCTCAGGATGCGCTCCTCGGCCTTGACCAAGACGGAGAAGGAGCTGTGCCGGCGCGGGCGGGGGGCGTCCTGGGACTCGTCGTCCGCGGGGCCGATGGTGGAGCCCAGGAAGCGCGGCAGGACCTTGAGGAAGAGCTGGGGGGCAGCGGGAGGGGGCGGTCAGGCCCCTCCTCCCTGCCCGAGCCGGACCCCCCTCCCGCCCCCCCGAGCAAGCAGCCCAAAGCAGCCTGCGACTCCAGCGTGTTCCGGGGCCGGAGTCGGCCTCCGTGCCCGCTGGCTGGCGCCTCCGCGGGCTGCGCGTGGCGACCCGGCGGGCGAACCCGAAGGAGAGGCCGGTGCGACCGAAGCCGCCCCCAAAGTTCTCCCTCTAACGTGCTGGTGACCCCCGGAGGATTTTCCGGGCGTGCCGGGGTGCCCGAAGAAGCTGCGGCGACGGGCTCGCGGACGGAGGGCCTAGGGGGTCCTGCGGGATGGGGAAACGGAGGGAGCGGCTGCCCGACCTTCCGAGAGGGCAAACACAAGGGGTGGAATTCGCCCTCCCGGGTCGAGCGTGTCGCCTCGCTCCTCTCGCCCGCTCCTTTGCCTCGTTCCTCTCGCCCGCTGCCTTCCTTCTTCAGCCCCGGATCTCCTGCTGAGCTAGTTCAGAGGTCTCCAGCCTCTGCTGGCTGGGGAATTCTGGGAGTTGACGTCTACAAGCCTTAAACTGGCCAGGGTTGCCCAGCCCTGATCTACCCTGGGGGCTGCCTGGGTCATCAGCGGGACTCAGCCTTTAGAGGGGCTCCAGGCTCCACTCGGAAGTCCTTCGGCCTTCAGAAGTGAGACAGCTCCAGGGCTCCGAGGACAGTGGTTTTCAACCTTGGAAACTTTAAGATGGGTGGACTTCAACTCCCAGAATTCTGGGAGTTGAAGTCCACCCATCTTAAAGTTTCCAAGGTTGAAAACCACTGTCCTAGAGCGTCCCTCGGCACTGATGACGCGCCAGCTTTAGAGCGGGTGCCCATATCCACCTGGCCGTCACACCCGGCTTCAGACAAACCATCCCGGCCTCGCTTTCTGCCCAAACAGCAGGCCGCCCTCCTCCCTGGCCCTGAGCCTCCCCTCCCCCTCCTCCTCACGTGTTTGAGTCTGGGGGACAGGAGGTGGGTGCTGGGGCTGCGCAGGGAGAAGTTCAGCACCACCACGCAGTTCATGACGATCAGCGTGGTCACCGTCATCACGAAGATCAGGTACCTGCGCCCGGAGGGAGAGAGGCAGCGGGTGGGCTGGGGCCGTTTCCTGGGCCCAGCCCCCCACGTGGGCTGGTATCCACTCACTTGCCAATGAGGGGGACGCCGAGGGACGTGGCGGGCACCTTCTGGGCAATCAGGATGAGGAAGACCGTCTGGGCCAGCAGGACTGAGATGCTGATCGTGCACTTTTGGCCCCCGGCTGCCAGGCAGAAATCTCATTGGTGAGGCTGCCCGGGGCCTCCCGGTGCCCTTCCCTCTCTCCCCAACCCCCAACCCAGCAGCCCCCAACCCTTCCAGTCTGTGTGCCCCCAGCCCCTGTAGCAGCAGCTGCCCCCCCCCCGCTCACCCTGGGCAGGCACGAAGTAGACCAGGACCACCAGGGAGGAGATGAGGACGCAGGGCACGATGATGTTGATGACGTAGAAGAGCGGCTTGCGCTGGATGATGAGGAAGTAGTGGATCTCGGAGAAGCCCGGCGCCTCCAGCCCAGCCACAGGGGCCAGGATGCGGCGGGCTGGGCGGCGCTCGATGGCCCACTCCCCGTTCTCTGAAACAGAGGCCCTCCGGTCGGTCGTTCCAGCTAACAGCTCTGCACTGGGCTCCCCAGGGGCCCCCCTCCTCGAGGCCAGGGGCACCAAGAGCCACTCCTCATGGAGGCTTCGCCCCTCCCCTCCCGGCTCAGTGTGCGGCCCCCTCCCCAGCTACCTGTGAAAGCCGCGTAATCAATGATCACCTCCTTCACCGGCTTCTGGGTTTCTTCATCCAGGCCGTACTGCAGCTCAATCTCTCGGGCGTTGTGGGTTTGGGATCTGGAGGGGCAGAAGACCAGGAGGCCGGGGGGAAGGCCGCCCCTCCTTCAGCACCCCCCCAGCTGCCGCAAGGAGGCCCGGATGACCTCTTGCCCAGAGCCCCGGGGCCGACCTGGGCCAGGTGCCCCCGAAGCAGAGCCCATGACCCACCGGAAAACTAGGGAGCAGTTCTGCCAGTCAAAAGGGAAGAAGGTGACCTCTATGGCGCAGGAGCTGCGGAAGATGGCGGGGGGCAGCCAGTACATATTCCCCAGCGGGAAGATCAGGACGTTGGCGGAATAGGCCACCTCAAATTTGCCGTCAATGCTGGAGGGGAAAGGGGATGTTAGGAGGAGGTGGACACCTCCCTTTGGTAACCCCCCCACCTCCTGCACTCACTTGTTCTCCAGGACGATGTCCGGCAGCCACACCATGTCAGCCGGCACCCGAAGGGCCTTGTCGTATTCCTCCCTGCTGAAGTTCAGCCGATAGTCCACCCATTCCTGCGGCCACGAGGGGAAAGAGGCAGAGGTGACCCTCTCTGGCAGGGCAGACCCCCCCTCTGGAATCCCCCCCAAATGGGGTGGACTGAAATCCAGCCTGAGCTGTTGCTCCAGAGCAGCCTGGAAGGTCAAATGCCAGGGCTGCCCAGGGAGCCTCAAGTGGTGGGTGGCCAGTGGCCGTCCAAAATGGGGCAGATGCAGAGTCCCCTAGCGGGGGTCCTTGCCTGAGTGATCCAGACATTAGTGGTCAGCGTTTCTTCTTTGGCATTCTGGAGGAAGGAAGGAAGGAAGGAAGGAAGGAAGGAAGGAAGGAAGGAAGGAAGGAAGGAAGGAAGGAAGGAAGGAAGGAAGGAAGGAAGGAAGGAAGGAAGCAAGCATTCACCACTCCTCAATTCTCTTGAAGCCCCCTGGTCTCCCCTTCCCTCCAGGGGTGGGGAAAGGCCCCCCCTACCAGGGAGATGAGGTTGGTGAGGGTCAGCCTCAAGAAGACCTGCAGCACTTCGCCCGCCCTCTGTGCCGGCCACCGGGTCTTGTCATAGTTGGCAAAAAGGCGGTTGTACAGCTCAAGCTCCTTGTTGCCCTCTGGGGAGCCTGTGTGGGGAGTGGGGGGCACAGGATGAGGCCCCAGAGAGCAGCCCCGCCACCCCAGGGCCAAGCGATGCCCTCTGCTTACCGAGGGCCGTCCAGCTGAGCAGAAGCCCCAGCCAGAAGCCCCAGGCCAGGCTGCCCACCGCCTCCATGGCCAGACCGAGAGACGCTTTGCAGAGGGGGAGAGTTATTTTGAGATTGCTCCTAGCTGGGGGGAGGGGGCACCGGATATCCTCCCCCTCAAGCATCAGAGGCATTCGCTTCCCAAGCTCTGGAGCACCTGTTGCACATGCTTGGCATCCGTGGCAGAGCAGCTGGGGACGAAGGGCGATGCTCGGCTCTCCCCATACCACGGATCTGGCCTCAAGTCCCTTGGGGTCCTCTGCTGGGAGTGCCCCACAAGCAGTCTCCCTGCCCCAGGCTGGCCTAAGAGGGGACAGTGGGCCACAGCTCCACAGGAGATGGTGGCATGTGGCCCCCCAGCCCCCCCTGCACCCCAATGGCGAGCGCAAGGCCACCCTGGAACTGTTTGACAGGGAGAGCAAAGTGAGGCAGCTGCGATTCTTAACTGCAGAAAAATCCGAGAGAAGACTGGATGATACACCCAAATCTGTCCCAAGCACCAGGGCAACGCATGAGGACTAGAGACTTAGAGGCAGAAGCTCTCCCTCCTCTCCTCCAGCAAAACCCAGAGACATCAGTTAGGACAATCGATGGAGCTGCAACTAGTCAAAAGCTTTGCCACCCAACAATCCATGAAAAAGGGGGGGAGGGTTGTGGCCAGTAGACAGACCTCTGTCCCAGGGCACAAAACCTGCTCAGCATTACACTCATTTATTCTCTGCATTCCCACAATGCAACAGAATAACAGGCCTGGAAGGGACCTTGGAGGTCTTCTAGTCCAGCCCCCCTTGATCAAGCAGGAGAGCCTATACCATTTGAGACAAATGGCTGTCCAATCTCTTCCTAAAAATCTCCAGCGTTGTGGTCCAAGGGGCAGGACTGGGAAGTGGGGGGTCCTTGAGCCGCAGGTTTAGCACAGGGGTAGGCAACCTTGTCTCTTTTAGGACTCGTGGACTTCAAAAGCCAAGGTTGCTTATTCCTGGCCTATGCATACAGATGAAGCCAGCGGTGTCCAGGGGGCCAGGATGGAGCTAGGAGACAGGGTTCCCCTCTTCCAGAGACGGGGAACTACTTCCTCCCCCCTCCTACTCACCAGGCCCACTGAGGCCATCAGGGCTCAACCTGACTCAGAGGGGTCCCTTCTGTGTGTTCAGACAAAATCACCTGCCCTTTGCCTGCAGCCTGTTTGGGGGTGCCCTCATGGCCAGGAAGCCCCAGAGTCTCCCCCACCAGGTATTCCCACCCTGTGCTGGGAGGGGGGGGGGGCTCAGAGCCTGGTTCTGAGCTGGGGGGGCAGAGTTCAAGGGACGGAAGGGCTGCATCTGGGCAGGCAGATAAAGCCCCCTCCTTCCCCCAGAGCAGTGGCCTTATCTGGCTGCTGTGGGGAGGGCAGGATGTGGCATCCGCACAACCATTGGGACTGAGCAGGGAGAGGCTGCAGGAGGACTGGCCTCCTTGCCCAAAGCCTCTGCCAGCCCGGCTGCCCCACCCAGGACCCCCCAAACGGGCGAGGCTCGTACGTGGGCACCGCCAGCATCACAGCACAGCCGAACTGCCGCCTGGAGCCTCAGTGCCCGTAAGTCAGCCCCTCGCGGCCAGGTCGGATCTGGTGCGAAGGGAAGAGGTGGAAGGCAGAGAACACCTGCCCTGCAAGGTAGGCTGCCTAGAACAGCGGCAGGCAGGGAAGCTGGAGGGAGGTCGGACCAGAAACCCAGGGAAAGGGTCCCGCTGCCCCAGGCCGGGGCTCAGCAGGACGGAAAGGGGGGGGGGAGTTTTGCCGCTTTATGCAACGGGAGGTTCTGGTGCTGAGCCTGAACCTGCCCAGGGGGGGGGGTCTTTTTTCCCCGCTTAGGGATTCCTGGGGGGGGGAGCAGGAGGGTGGCAGCTCCTTTCTCTCCTCCAGCTGGCCGAGATCTTCCAGCGGTGAAATGGCAAGGTCAAAGGGCAGGACGGAGCTCCGGCCACACTCACTTAAACCGAGGGAGGCTCCCGAGGAGGGCTCAGCCTCGGCTCCCCAGCCTCCCTGCCCAGCATCTCCGTCTCCCCAGGGCACAGGAGCCCCTGCCTGCCGGCCTCGGCTCTTGTCTTTCCTGGGCCCAGCCACATTTTTCTTAAATAAGTAGTTTAAAATTCCACTTTGCTGACAGGGAAAGATACAATCGATATTGTTTGGCCAATGATGTATTTACTTAACGCTATTCCTCTGAAACATTACACCACACCTAACTTGTTCAACCAGGTTGCTAATCTATTAAGATTTTTTTTTTTTTTTTAGGGCGAGGACAAGCCCCCCCTTGCTGGATTTTCTTTAAGTTAGGATTCCAGCTCCTTCAGGCGGCTCAGATGCCGGTTCCTCCTCCGGTTTCATTTTGCAACACGACTCCCTTGGGCTCCAGGGGGCTGGCCACGCAGAGCCAGCTCCATCCTGTCTGGGTCCCTCAGAGAGCAGCAGCTGGATGCCAGGCTCTGGGTTCAAACTGTCCCCAGAAACCAGAGCTTTGCACCACCTCAGGAGCTTTGCACATCCTGGTGCTCAGCGCTTGCGGGAAGGGATGTCACACAATTGATCAGAATGTTTCTCGACCTTGGCAGCTTGAAGGTGTCTGGATTTCAATTCCCAGAATTCCCCAGCCAGCACAGCACAAGTGTGATGTGTATAACGTGAGAGAGGTATTGAATGCAGGTGTTCAAAACTATGGGCCTGATTAGGATTATTTAGCAACTGTTTTGATACCTCAGCCCCATTTTCAGCCATCGTTTTGCTGCGTTTCCTGGGTTAAGAGTCGCAAGACACATTTGGAAGGTGTGGAGAGTGACAGTGTTGTCAATTAATCCACAGCTGGGCTGTCAGATTGGCCTGGTGCCACAAACAGAATCTGTTTTAGTTACATCCAAATCACCCTGCAATTTTTATTCAGCTTAATGAAGGTAGATCCTGCAGAAAGTCCATCTCTACGGTCATTAGATGTAAACTAGCATAATCTATCAATTGCGGTTGAGATGTTCAGCATGGACAGTAGCAAGAAGGCTGGGGTCCCCCTCAGAGGATCAGCAAGAAAGAGGGGGCCTCCGTGAGGGACAAGGGAAGGAGGGGCTGCCCCAAACGCGCAGAGATGCCCCCCACCATGGCAGGAAATGGTCTCAGTCCAGAATGATGATAAAGGCAACGGTGGGCTTCCTGGACAGTCCCCCCCACCTGTAAGAGCAACTGTAGGGTCAGCCCCCCCCCAAGCCCTTTGCAGCAAGGCTCAGAAGGCAGTCCCAGGGCTCAGCAACTTCCTGGGAGTTGCCCCCATTTCCTGAAAGACCTGCAAAGCAGGGCCCCCAACTTTCCTGGCACTGGGGACCAAGTTTCGTGGCAGATCATTTTTCCACAGACGGGGGGGGGGGGGGGAAGAATGGTTTTGTGTACAACCTAGATCCCACACATGCACAGATGAAGCTTTGCTAACGGACCACCGACCGGTCCTGGTCCGCATCCCAGGGGTTGGGGCCTCTCCAAGGTGGGGGCCGGCCTTGGGGAGTCATTCTGCCCGCCCCTTCTCAGCAGGCGGCCCCAGACGGCCCCTTTGGCCAGGCTGAGGGCAGAGGGATGCAGGGGAAACCTCTGTGTCAATCACCTCAGCAGCGTCAGAACAATTCCCAGCTGGGCTCCCAAGAAGCCATGGCTTGAATGCTTATCCTGGACTCTCTGTGTGGCCTCCTTCCCACAGATGCTGCAGGGCCTGCTGGCCCCCCTCCTCCTGGCTGCCTCGGTTGCTGCGGTGGCAGCCATGCCTCCCCCCGAGCAGTGCACGTCCGAGATGAACAAGGCCAAGGACCTGCTGGAGGTGAGTTGTGTGGACAAGGGGCTGACCAGCGTCCCCTCCGGGCTGCCCAAGGACACGGGCATCCTGCTCCTGGCCGACAACCAGCTGGCCCAGGTTGCCCTGGCCTCCTTCCAGCACCTGCCGGAGCTGAGCAAGCTGGACCTGTCCAACAACAGCCTGGAAGTCCTGGAGACCGGCGCCCCCTTGCCCAAACTTGAAGAGCTGCTCCTGTCCCACAACGGCCTGGAGAGGCTGCCTGCTTTCTCAGGGCTGCCCGCCCTGAAGCGTCTGAACCTGGGGCACAACCGTCTCTCCTGGCTGCCTGAGGGGGGCTTCCGTGACCTGGACAAGCTGGAACGGCTGCACCTGCAGGCCAACCAGCTGCAGACCCTGCCCGGAGGAGCCTTCGAAGGCCTGGAGGAGCTGATGGAGCTGGACCTGTCGGACAACCGTCTGGAGGTGCTGCCTGCGGAGCTGCTGGCCGAGCTGTCCAACCTGGAGCTGCTGTATCTGGAGAGGAACCGGCTGCAACGCCTGCCGGACGGCTTCTTCTCTGAGGAGGCCGTGTATGTCTACATCTACCTGGTGGGGAACCCCTGGCTGTGCGACTGCCGGCTGCTGTACCTGCAGGGCTGGATCACGAACAACTCGGGCGTCATCTACACTCGCACGAAGGTGCGGATGCAGAGCGACCTAGAAAAGGAGGTCACAGAGAGCAGGGTCACGGACGTCCTTTGCCAGGCGCCCCCCGAGCGGAAGGGCCTCCCCGTGGTGAATTTCACAAGCGACGCCTGCAAGACACTCAGAGATGATGACGACCATGAGGGGAAAGAAGACGAAGGAGGCCCTGCAGATGACAGCTGGGCATCCTCTCCGGCCCCCTCCCCTTTGACCTCCACAGCCGCTGCCCCCTCGGCTTCAGGGCCCCTTGCAGCCTCCTCGCACAGCTCAAGCACAGCCATCAGCCCCACCGGTGCCGCCCTCACAACCACAAGCACTTCAGCGGTTAGACCCACAACTACACACTCCTCTACAGCCACCAGTCCTGCTCCCCTCACCACTTTTAATGGTCTCACCACAACCGCAGCCAGGGTCCCTTTCGGCCCCTCCCCCACTGGCGCCACTGTGGGGAGGTCGCCTGCAATGTCCGATGTCCCCATGAAACTGCCAGGCCCCTCAACTGCCCACGTCCCACCCTCCACCCCCCAGCCCCTCCCACCCCCCACAACCCAGCCCCATGTCCCCACCACGACTTCTTCCACCCCTTTTGCTTACAGCCCCACTGCCTTGATGCTCCCCACCCCTCTCCCTCCAAGCCCAGCTCCTCCAACGGCAGCCGCAGCCGGGCCTCCTCCAAGCACTGCAGCCCTGGTCCCCCCCACCCCCGCCCGAAGCTCACCCAGGATTTCTGCTCCCGTTTCCACCCACGGCTTTTCTCCCCCACCTCCCCCCAAGCCCTCCGCCCACTGTCTCTGCCCTGCCCTGCCCGTCAGGGTGCTCGGCGTGGCTGCTCGTAAGGGCTCCCCCGCAGATTGGCTGGCTGGCTACTGCTGCCTCCTGCGCCTGGTGCTCTACCTCGCCTGCCTGGCGTTGGTGGCCGTGCCAACCCTGGCTGTGCTCTGCTGTCTGGGCTGGCTCTACCTGGGCTGGTACCGCCTGGCTCTGCGAGGGGCTCCAGGGTCCCGTCTGGCCAGGTCCCGGCAGCGGCAGAAGGCCTCCCCCAAAGAGCGGCGGCTGAAGTTTGCCGAAGCCCCCTATCCCACAAGCGGGCCCCGGATCTACCGGGTCTGCAAGAAGTTCCAGGTGGGCCCTTCCCGTCACGTCACCTGGCTGCTGGTCAGCCTGCCTGGCTCTGCCGGAAAACGGGCACAGAGGCAAGCCAGGCTGTCCTCCTATAGCTTGGACACAGGGAAGGACACTCTGGGGGCCGTGAGGGTGAAATACACCGCGGCCTCGTTGTAAGGGCTAAGCAGGCCAGATCAAAAGGCCCCAATGCCCCCTTAGAGGAGGGAGCTTGCTTGAAGTACAGTGGGGGGGGAACCGCCTGCAGGTCTTCGGCTCCCCCTTCTTGCCCATTGGCCAGGCTGCGTGCAATCCGTGAGAATTCAGTCCAAGCAGGGTAGGGGGGGGGGTGGGGGGTGGCTGAACATGCACGTGTGAGAGGCACCCAGTTCCCCTTCCCAACAGCTGAGCCCAGTCAGCGTCCTGAATGGCAGTTCTGGCAGTTCTTGATCCCAAAAATCTTGCATGCCTCCCCCGTTGTTATTGTATTTTGTGCCATCTTGGTTCGGACAACAGCAGCGAAGAGGTTGTGGCCTGTGTGCACACAAGGGGGAGGTGAGGGAACTTGGGGGGGGGGCTCTGCCAGTCTCTCCTTAGGAGCCCTTCGGTCGCTGCAGCAGGCCAAGGGCTGCTGAAATATTGGCAAGGGTCCCTTCTTCCAGCCTCTCCCTGAAGGTCTGGTCAGAGTGCAGTTGGGGGGGGGCGGTCCCTGCCCAACTCTGGCAAAGTTGCCATGGTCCTGGGATGCAGTGATTGGGGAAGGACCCCCTCCCCCAGCTGGGGCTATGCCCTCCCCAGACCTCCCCCAGCGGATGGCTCAGATGCATGCAAAACCTTCACTGCCCCACCACCCACAGCCAGGGACCTGGTAAGGTGGGGCTGACCTACATCCCAGAGGAAAACGGGACTAGACCCTGGTTTGCGTGGAGTGGCGGCAAGGTTGCCATGCCTACTTTCACAGACTGCCAGCATCGGCTCCTCACGAGGACCCCCAGGGAAGTTGCCCTGCCATGGCTGGCCTCTGGGGGACCCCTGCCCACCTGGCCCCACAGGCCCCCTTCCATTTGCCTGGGAGGGGGATAAGGCAATGGCTTCGCCCAATCTTTGCTCCAGCTCTGAGACGCACTCACCAGCCAAGGAGGCCCTTGCCGAGACCGGCAGCCTCCCTCCGCCCCTGCCACCTGGCACAGGAAGGCCTGGGCAGAAGGCCCAAACCAGCCCCGTGCAGGAGACCCCCAAGACATTTCAGAAATGCAGCAGCTTTGCTGCCACCAGAGGGCGCTAGCCAACGCCACAGCTGAGAAACCACCCATCACCCCAAGGTACCTTTGGGACTTATTAGGGGGGGGTCCTTGCATGGGGGGGCATGGACGCCTTCCAAAGGAGGCCAGTGATGCCTCCGCCCCCTCCCCCATGCCTGTGGCCAAGTGCCAGACAGGCAGCTGGTGCTTCCCCATAGATAGGGGTAGGCAACCTTGGCTCTTTTATGACTCCTGGACTTCAATTCCCAGAATTCCTAAGTCAGCATGGCTGGCTCGGGAATTCTGGGAGTTGAAGTCCACGAGTCATAAAAGGGCCAAGGTTGCCTACCCCTGCCCATGGGGGGGAGGGGAGTAGGAAGCCACCCTGGGCACAGGGGCACACTTGCCCACCAAGGGCAGGGAGAGTTGCTGAGGGCAGCTGAAGGGCTTCTCCCCCTGCAGAACTGGGGTGGGGAATGGGGCAGTGGGATGGGGGGGCTCTTTCTCAGCATCCACATTGGAATAAAACCCGCTGGCCTCGCAAGAACTGCCCGTCTCCACCTGGTTCCTCCGTCGACCTCTGTGTGTAGTAACCTCAGCGTGGCTGCTGCTTCAGTTAAGGCTGCGGGTTCTTCTCCAGTTCTTCACGGAAGGGAAACCGAGTCTTGGGCGAGCTGGCCTTTTGATGATTAAAAAGAGCCTCCCCTCCTGCCAGCCCCCCCTCCCCATCTGAACCCCCCACCCCACCAATCCTGCTTTTATCCTGCTGTGTCCAGGCAGGGCAGGAAAGAGATCCCCCCCAAAAAAGGGCAGCAGAGCTGACCTCTCTCTGGAGGTGAGGGCAGCAGCCTCCCCCCTACCAGCTCCAGCCCTGCGGAGACCCCTCGCCTTGCTTGCCCAAGGGGCAGAGGACCCTGGCCCAGCCCCTCCCCTCCCCTCCCCAGAGCAGAAAGAGCCAGAGCCGGAGGGAGGATTTTGGTTCTTTATCAAGAGATGAAATGCAAAGGCCACCACTGATCCCTGGGGGGGGGAGCTCCCTTTTCCACAGAGGAGTCGGGGAGGGGGTTATATACAAATGCAAGCAAACTGGACAAGAAAATCAAGTTGCAAACAGGAGCCGCGGTGTCCTGGCCTGCCTCTGCCCCAGCCGCCACCAGAGTAAGCCCTGTGGAAGCATCCCAAGCCTAGCCAAGGGGGGGGGGCGAGGGGGGGAGGAGGGGGACAAAAGCAGACAGTGCCTCTGCCTGGGGAAGGGGGAAAGCCCCCCCCACTCCTGGAGCCAGCAGAGGGCCCACCCCGGAGGAGGAGGGGTGGCCCAGGCCTCTGAGGGTGCCCCCTGCCCAACCTGATGAGCTGGGCCATTAAAGTGCTTCATTAGTTAATTACTTAAATTGCCATTACAAAAGAATAATTAAAGCAAAATATACAGAGCTCCCCCGTGGTTAATGGGAGAGAAAATTCTAGATATACATCCAGGTGAAGCCCAAAGCTGGGGGCCAGCGGGGGGGGGGGAGCGAGGAGGGGGACTCCCGAGAGCAGCCAGTCTCCCCCCTCAAGGATTCCAGAGAGCAAAGAGGGGGGGGGTCACGTGGGGGGGGTACTGTGGTGCCCAAATCACAAGGAGGGGAGAAACAGAAGAGGGCCAGAAGGTTGAGTTCACGGGTGAGAGTGTAAGGGGTGTGTATATGTGTGTGTGTGTGTGTCATTTGTTCCATCATTCCCCCCCTCGCAATTGGGATGAGGGGTATTCTTCCTCCAGCTCAAGACAGCAAGTTGGGGGGGCTGGGATCACTGGGAGAGGCTCTGACTGAGAGCCCCCCTCCCCTCCCAGCTGCCACGGAATGTGTGGGTGGCCTTGGGGGGAGGGGAGGGAGGCAGGGCCTCTGGGGTGAGGGGGGCAGAAGGGGAGATTGGCCCTGATGATGGATCTGGTGGCTGAAAGGGGGGGGGCTGTACCCCCAGATTGAATGATCCTGTAGCCTCCTTGAGAAAGAAAGCTAGCCCACCCAGTCTGGTTTGCCCTGGAAGACTCACAGGAGCCTCCCCCTCTGCCAGAAGCCCTGTGCCCCCAGCCCCCCCCCCAAGACTCTCTGGGCCGGCTGGGGATCCTCCCGCCGAGCAGGACCAGCAGCGGCCTTCACCAGTTCATGATGCAGTTCCTGTTCAGGGTCATGAAGTAGACCTGGCTGCTGCCCCCGGAGCGCACTGAGGCGAAGAACACCTGCGGGGGGGGGGGGAGAGGGAAAAACAGGGGCCAGAAGGTGGGTCAGACGGCCCCGCCTGGTGTTGCAGGGCCAGCAAGAGCCCCACCCCCAACCCAGTCTCAGGCTTTGCCAACACCACTCCCACCTTCACCCCCCTGGCCCAGGGTCCTAGCCAGGCCGGGCGCCCAGAGGGACCCACCTTGTCGTTGCGTTCGCACAGAAACTTCAGCCGCTGGGCCCGCTTGTGCATGAAGACGCCATCTAGGTGCCCCGTCTCCACCGAGCGGATTTCAATGGCCTTCTCGCCCCAGCCCATGATCTGATTGGAGCAGATGTACGCTGGGGGGGGGGAGAGGAAAGGGCTGGACATGGGTGGGGGGGCTCCCTGCTGAGCAGCTCCCCCCCTGCTCGGACTTTGTGGCTTGAATCCATATCCAAAGCAAAGAAATGGGACCCCCCCCCAAAAAAGAGGCAGGCGTCCAGTGGAGCTCCCTGTGCCCCCTCCTCCCCAGGCTCTGCCCCAGAGAAGGAAAGGGGGGGGGAGCTCTGCAACCTCTGGTAGGCAGGAGGCAGCCCTGACTGAGGTGGGGGGGGGTAAGGCTCTCTCTCAAGGCTGGGGGAGGGGGGCTTCCAGAGCCTTGGGAAGGCAGGTGCGAGTTTGGGCAAAAGCATCCATTGAATGCATTTGGGTCAATATAAAAGGGGGGGGGGGAAATGACATTGCCATAGGTGTATACTACAGACCACCCAACCAAACAGAGGAAATAGATGAACTTTTTGCTAGTCAGCTAACTAAGGTATGTAGGAAGTACATCACAATAGTAATGGGGGACTTTAACTACCCTGACATCAACTGGGAGACAAACTCCGCACCAAGTGGAAGATCAAACAGATTCCTGACAAACCTAGCAGACAATTTTATCTCCCAAAAAGTAGAGAAGGGAACTAGGGAATTAGCTATTTTGGATCTAATTCTCACTAACAGAGACGAAATGATAGAAGGTGTTGAAGCCACAGGAACCCTGGGAGGAAGTGATCATGCAATATTAGAATTCAACATTATGGAAGCACAAGGAATAGAACACAGTCAAAAGAGTCTTGGACTTCAAGAGAGCTAATTTCAATAAACTTAGAGAGGGCTTGGGAAGGATTCCATGGATGAGAATCCTCAAGGGGAAAACAACTCAAGAAGCTTGGGAAATTTTGAAAAATGAGATAATAAAAGCACAGTCTAGCACAATACCAACAAAGAGGAAAAACAATAGCTCAAAAGACAATTATCTTTTGAGCTGTTGTTTGAGATAATTATCAACAATTATCTCAAAAGAAACCAGCCTGGCTGCATAAAGAACTCTCTGACAAATTGAAAGATAAAAAGGACAAGTATAGAAAGTGGAAAGAGGGGCACATAACTAAGTCAGAATATCAGCAAATAGCCCGAGCCTGCAAAGATGAAGTGAGGAAAGCCAAGGTTCAAAATGAACTAAGGCTTGCGACTAAAGTCAAAAATAACAAAAAAAGCTTCTTTCAACATGTAAAAAACAAGAAAAAAGTGAAGGAAATGATTGGTCCATTAGTGGGTGAAAGTGGCAAGAAGGTGACAAGCAACAGGGAGAAAGCAGAACTATTTACTATTAATTATCTCAAAAGAAACCAGCGTGGCTGCATAAAGAACTCTCTGACAAATTGAAAGATAAAAAGGACAAGTATAGAAAGTGGAAAGAGGGGCACATAACTAAGTCAGAATATCAGCAAAGCAGAACTATTTAACTCATTTTTTTGCATCTGTCTTTACACAAAGGGAATAAACAGACCAACCTATCAAAAACAGTGCCATAAAAAACAGAATAGAAACGCAAGTTAAGATAGGCAAGAAAACAGTAAGTGAGCACCTGTCCAGCCTAGACGAGTTCAAATTGCCAGGACCAGATGGATTACACCCCAAGGTTCTCAAGGAACTGGCAGATGTGATCTCGGAACGACTGAACTATAATTTTCAAAGATCCTGGAGCACAGGGGAACTACCAGAGGACTGGAAAAGAGCTGATGTAGTTCCCATCCTCAAAAAAGGAAAAAAAATGGACCCAGGAAATTACAGACCTATCAGCCTGACCTCAATACCTGGGAAGATCCTGGAAAAGATAATCAAACAACGAATCAACAAACACCTAGAGGCAAACAAAGTCATTACTAAAAGCCAACATGGGTTTGTCAAAAATAGATCATGCCAGACAAATCGTATTGCATTCTTTGACCAAGTGACAAAATTAGTGGATCAGAGGAATGTTGTGGACATAATTTACTTGGACTTCAGTAAGGCATTTGATAAAGTAGATCACAACCTACTACTTGATAAAATAGAAAAATGTGGGGTAGACAGAATCACCACCAGATGGATCCGTAGCTGGCTGACCTGCTGTACTCAGCGAGTGGTCCTCAATGGAACTGCATCTATATGGAGGGAAGTGTGTAGTGGGGTGCCCCAGGGCTCTGTTCTGGGCCCAGTACTCTTCAACATCTTCATCAACGATTTGGACAAAGGGATAGATGGGGAACTCATCAAATTTGCAGACGACACCAAGTTGGCAGGAATAGCCAACACTGCAGAAGACAGGCTTAAGATACAGAAGGATCTGGACAGACTTGAACACTGGCACTATCTAACAAAATGAAATTCAACGGTGAAAAAAGCAAGGTTCTACATTTAGGCAAGAAAAACCAAATGCACAAATACAGCATAGGTGGCACCAGTTACAATAGTAGTAACTGTGAGAGGGGTCTCCGAGTCCTAGTGGACAATCACTTAAATATGAGCTAGCCGTGTGCTGCAGCTGCCAAAAAGGCCAACACAGTGCTGGGCTGCATTAACAGAGGAATAGAATCAAGATCACGTGAAGTATTAATACCACTTCACAAGGCCTTCGTAAGGCCACACTTGGAATACGGCATCCAGCTTTTGTCACCACGATGTAAAAAAGATGTTGAGACTCTGGAAAGAGTGCAGAGAAGAGCAACAAAGATGATTAGGGGACTGGAGGCTAAAAAATATAAGGAACAGTTGCTAGAATTGGGTATGTCCATTTTAACGAAGAGGAGGGGGGACATGATAGCAACCTTCCAGTATCTCAGGGGCGGCCCCAAAGAAGAGGGAGTCAAGGCGCCTGAAGGCAGGACAAGAAGCAACGGATGGAAACTAACCAAGGAGAGAAGCAACCTAGAACTAAGGAGAAACTTCCTGACAGTGAGAACAATTGACCAGTGGAACCGCCTGCCTCCAGAAGCAGTAAATGCTCCAACACTGGGAGCCTTTAAGAAGAGACTGGACAGCCATTTGTCCGAAATGGTGTAGGGTTTCCTGCCTGAGCAGGGGGTTGAACTAGATGACCTCCAAGGTCCCTTCCAACTTTACTACTACTACTATTATTATTATCCTGGCTAGCAAGAAAGGCTACTTCCGCGGTTTCCTGCTGGACCGATCCTGCCCGGCTCTGAACGGGAAGGAAACCCCAGGATGTGAATCCCTCTGAGAGGAGAGCAAGGTGCATCTCAGGTAAGCAGCCCACAAAGGGGAGCTTGATTAAACGTAATAAATTTTTTAAGGAATTTCCACTGTGTGCTCAGGGGGAGTCAGCTGAGTGGGGCAAGTAATCAATGGGGGAAACCTGGAGTGCCAACTGGGCCGAAGAACTCTGAAATGGGGTAACGGAGTAAGTGGGTGCTGCGGGGGGAGGGCAGACCGTGTCAGAAAGGGTGGGGGCAGGGAGGGGCAAAACAAGCCCTGGGTGCCAGACACCCCAATCGTGATCCTGTGACCCTAAGGCGGCTGGCACGGCCCAGCTCCAGGGACCACCGTCCGTTCAGCCCTGTGGTCACTCCAGTCGTTAAAGCGAAGTCCGCCTGCATTTTAACAAACTCCCCAGGGGGGGAGGGGGGGCATCCAGGGTGCTTGTGCTGGACTTTTCTATAACCCCCTCCCCCCGCTCTGGGCTCTGACCCAGGCAGCCCCCCCCTGGTGTCTGAGGGCCTCTGGGTGGCTGCCTTGGGGCTGAGACCCCCACAGACTCACCCACGGAGGTGGGCATCTCCCCCCACTGTAGGACCACGTCCTTGATGATGCGCCCGTAAGTGTTGACGTAGACGCCCTCGTCCTCGTAGCAAAGCAGCATCTCCATCCCGTCCGTGTTGGGCAGGAAGACGATGGCGTGTGGGGTGATCTGGGATTGGATCTGGGGGCCCAGAGGAGCAGCGATCAGCCCCACCAGGCCCCGGGCAGGGCCGCGTCGGGTGGGGAGGGGAGATGGGCTCCAGAGAGGCTCCCGCCTGCACTCACGTGGACCGGGATGTAGATGTCGTAGTTGTTTCCGGAGTCCACATCGATGGCGTGGAATCCGGCACATGAGCCGTAGATGACCTTCAGCCGTTGCCCTTCCTCAACCGTCAGCTCCACCAGCAGCGGCCGGTGCGGCAGGTCGGCGAAAGACTGCAGGGCACGGACAGAGGGGGAGGGGAAAGGGAGTGAGATTACCACAGCTGCCGGGGGGATTGGGGAAGGCAGAGGACCCCCACCCTACAGCCCCTCCACCATCGCCCCGTACCTTGAAGGCCATGAACTTGTGGTAGGGTTTGGGGGCCCAGGCGTAGACCTCCACCGAGCTCTTCAGCGCGATCACCAGGAACTTGATCCGCTCGTACTTCACTGCGGGTGACAGGGACCCCCGTCAGGGCCAGGCCCTGGGAGGGCAGCGGCGCCAGCCCCCCTGGCCCGCCTCCCCAGGGAGCTCCTGTTGCTCAGGGGAGGTCAGAGAACCCCCCGGTCCTGCCACATCCCGGCCCCTGCTCACCCACGCGGTAGTGGAGGCAGCCCTCCAGGTCCCCCACGGTGGTCCAGCCTTGCTTCTTCTCCACTTCCGGGTCGTTGTGCAAAATCTTGTTGCGCAGCCAGGAGAGGTAATAGACCCGCAGCTTGTTCCTCTTTCCTGCAGAGGCCGGGGAGGGGGTCACGGAACTGCCACGAGGCAGGCTGGGAGGGAGCAAAAGGCCCAAGGGGAGGGGCCGGCCTCAGGGTCCCCCACCTCCGGCGCCCGGCAGCCCCTAACCTGAGATGGTGGTCAGCAGGTTCAGACCCTCCAGGACGTCCATCTGCTGGAAGCGCCGGCGGTTGATGAGGCCGTAGACCTTGCCCTGACCGCTGCGGTCCAGCAGCATCAGCCCGTTCTCAGTGCCCACCAGCAGGTTGACCCCTGGGTGTGTGGGGGGAAAGCGGGGTGGTGGTGGTGTGAGAAGCGACGTCCTGCCCCCCGGACCCCCCTTCCCGCCTCCCTTTCCAGCTCTCTCACCCCAGAGGGCTGCGCAGAGGATCTCCGAGCCGAAGCGCTTCTTGTACTTGCGGATCTCCGGGGCGTCACTGTGGGGCCGCGTGTTGGCAGGGTTCACGTTGACCACGGAGCCCTTCCGGGCCTCCAGCTGCAGCTGCTCCAGCCGCCCGGGGTCGAAGGCTGCCAGTCGGGGAGGCCAAGGGGGTCAGAGGGGTGCAGGGAGCGGGAGGCCGGGTGGCCCCCTCAGCCGGACAGGAGGGCAGAGACGGGAGGGCCTCTCGCGGCCATCCGGGTTCAGGCATTCAGCCCAACGGCAGGCCCAGCAAGAGTCCCCGGGCAGCCCTCCCCCCCTTGGCGCCAAGGCCAGGGCTGGCTCTGAAACTGCGGTCCAGCCTGGCCAAGCGGGCGCCCATCTCCTCCTGCCAAGAACCCCCCCCCCACTCACCCGTGATGGGGATGGTGTCTCCTCCCCCAGGGGAGCTTTGATAGATGCCCAGATCCACAAACATGGTGAAGGAGCTCTTGCCCGGAGCCTTGACCAGCCCCCGCGACTGGTACTGCGGGCAGCAGGGGGAGGGGGAAGAGAAAGGTCAGCCCAGGGCCATTCCCGGAGGGCAGAGCGACTCCCACCCCCTGCACCCTCTCAGCCAAGGTGGCCGGCATGATGCCGTGCCGAGGGCCCTGGCAGGTGAACCTGGCTCTGCCCCAGGGCCCTCCTGCCGCCCCTGGGGACCCCCACCCACTCACGTCAGAGGCCCCCTCCTTGGTGGGGGAGGAGGACCCGTTGCTGCTCTTGGCTTCCGTGGGAGAGTGGCTGGGCTGAACCACGTCAGGCAAGTTGGTGTAGCCGTTGCTGTCGCTGTGCAGGAGGCCACGCTCCTCCTCGGGGGTCTGGAGGGGGCAAAGAGGGCTCAAGGCCGGGTCAGGCCAAAGACGCTTCCACCACAGCCCACCGGGCATAACTGGGGACTTTGCCAACAGGGAGGGGCACAGCCAACGGCCCTCCCGGCTGGCAGTCAGGAGCAGCCCCTGGCCCTGCGAGTCCAGGCTGGACCCCCGTAAGGGAAAACCGGAAACTGCCCAGGTGGGAAAACGAGGCAGTGGGGAGGGTCTGCATTTCCAGGCTGGGGAGATTCCCTCCTTGGGGGGCTGCTCACCCGCTGCACCAGCATGGTGCCCTCGCCGTAGGAGCTCTCGGAGCCCCCGCTGCCGCCCGTCAGGTCCTCCAAGTCGTGCACCACCATGGTGCTCACTGAGTCCGTGTCGCCGTCCCTGCAGCCGGAGGAAGCGGGGCGGAGTGTCAGGGGCCGGAGGAGGCCGTGCGCCCCAGGAGGACGGCAGAAGAGAGGCAAAGTGAGCACCCCCCTGGCTCCTCACCTGGCCCCGGGGGTGCTCGTGCCAGGCTCCGAGTGCTCCCCCTCGCCCGCCTCTTCCTCCTCCTCCTCCTCCTCCTCTTCCTCGCTGGAGTCGGCCTCTTCGCTGGAGGAGGAGTAGTCCAGGGCCTTCTTGAGCGGCTTGGGGGCCGCCTCCTCCGGGCGCTCCTTGAGCAGGACGAAATTCTACAGGGGGGGAGGGAGGAGGGTCCAGACATTAATAAAGCACCAAACTGTTGGGGGTCTGGGGGGGGGTCCAATTCCTCCCCTGCCCCAGGAACCTCCGCCCGGCTGCCAAGAACCTGCTGGGAGAGCAGAGCGGGCACCCCGGGGGCACAGCCGCCCTGTGTTGCTGACGGGAAGAGAGGCAGGGCTGGTCCCCTACCCAGGGCACCTTCCCCGGACGGAGGGCTCAGCAGAGGGACTGGCAGGCCAGGCTGGGAGCGACATAGGAAGAAAGGGGGGGCAGCAGGTGCCCGCAGCCCCCAAAGCTTTGCCAGGGGCAGGAGAGGCAGAGGGTGTGTGGGGGGGTGGCACTAACCTCACCAATTGCCCGCTTATAGCTCTGAGTCATGCAGAAGGAAAAAGAAAGGAAGGGGGGAGGAACAGGTTAGGCTGCACCTTGGCCCCCCATCCTCCCCCCAGCCAGGAACCACGGCTGCTGCCTCCCTTTGCAGCACCAGAGGCAGGAGACAAGGGGGGGTTCCTCTCTCTCCCCCACCCCCAAAACCTCCTTCTGCATTTCCACCCCTGCTTGGCCAACCCCCAAATTCCTCTCAGCCAGTCCACCCTGGCCACCCCGTCCCACCGGGGGTGCCTTCCCTGGCACGGCTGCTCCTTGTCCGGGGTTCTCGTCGCCCTCCCAGCTCTTCATCAGGAGCCCCCCTCAAGCCCCCCGCTTCCTACTCACGGCTGGTCTCCCCGGCCGCGAGCGATGGTCGTCCGCCTTGGCCTTCCTGCCTTGGGACAGGATGGGGGAGCCCTCCAGCTTCAGGGGAGCTGCAGCAGAGGCGGGGGGGGGGAGGAAGGCAGGCCAAGTTGGACAGAAGCAGAAACTTTGCTGCCCGCTTTGCCCGTCCTCCCAGCGAGGGAGCGCGAAGGGGGAAGCCCTGCAGCCGAGGGGGGCTTCAGAACTCAAAACGGGGTCAGACACAGCTGGAGCCAGGCCTGGAGGAACTGCCCATCGCTCCTGCAGACCTCTATTTCCCCCCCCCTTCCAAGGAAGACCCCAAGTCCCGCCTCACCTGCCACGCGGTTGCGCTCCAGGGAGCCTGCCTGGGGCAGGTTGGCGGCCCCCGACTGCAGCAGGTTGTCCCCGCGCTCCCAGCCGGGGTCACTCCTGCGGAGGTCAGGGTTGCTGCCGGGAAGGAGGGAGATGCTGTGCTAAGACTGCCCGCCCCCCCCGCCCCACCCCAGCGGTGGCAGCAGAAGCAGCAGCGGCACCCGAGGCCCCCCCCTTCCCCAGGCAGGAGAAACACCAGCAAGCCCACCAGCAGCCCCGGCAGGAGCAGCGGATCCATTACCTACTGGTGTTTGGCCCGGAAGGGGTCCGGCCAGCAAGTGAGGGGAGAGGAGGGGCTGGCAAAGGGTTCCCCCCCCGGGGCCCCTTCTCCAGCCGGCTCTGCATGTGGATGTGCCACGCAGACTTGCTACGGGGCCTGTGGAGGGGAGCACAAGGACGTCACGGGACTGCCAGGGTGGGGGGCAGGGATCCAGGAGGCCGGAAGGTGAGCAGAGGCTCCAGCCAGGAGCAGAGCTGGTGCCGCCCGGCGCTGAGGGTGCGCCTCCTTGTGCCCCCCACCCCCCTGGGCTTCCCCTTCTCCTCTGAAGCCGGGTCACCCGCCGCCTCCCACCGAGGAGCCAGTGGTTCAGGCACAGGACGATGCCGGCCACCTGCCCACAAGCCAGCCTTGCAGCTGTCTGGGCCAGCTAGACTTCCTCCCACAGCCTGTCCAGGGGGGGCATGGACCCAGCACAAGGCTGGCTGGCTGGCTGGCAGGGAGGACTCCGAACAAGGCAGCAGCACAGACAATGGGGAACCAGAGTCTTCCGCTCTCTGCTCCTACTCCCCCAAACAGGCAGCTGTGAGGCAGGGGTACCCACCTGGCTCGGACAGCGTGGACCGGCCGCGTGCTGCTGCTGCCGGTCACTCCACTGGTGTTGAGGGCGGTTGCTATGGAGGACGTTCGCTGGGGCACCTGGGGGGGGGAAGGAGAGGGTGAGTCCCCTGCTGAATGCCCCCCCTTGCCAAGGATTTGAGGGGAACAGTCAGGAAAGCGCTCCCCTTACGGGAACGGCCTGCCCCTCCCCCCCCGCCCCCTCGTGCTGCAACAACCAGGGGCTCGGAGGAACCCCGGCCGGGCAGCAGGAAAGGGAGGGAGGAGGCGCTGGTGACCCACGGGGTGGGGGTCTCTCGCTCTCGGCCCGGCTCAGCCCACCTGGACGCCCTGGGCCAGCCGCCCGTCCTCCCGTTCCACCCCAACGGATTACCTGGGGAGGGCCATCGGGGTCCATTTTGACCCAAGGTCCTCGCTGGTCGGCGGTCGGCCGGGAGGGCTGTGGGGCAGGCCCCTCGGAAGTGGGGTCAGAGTTCTGCCGGATCATGCCCCCGCGAGGAGGGGGTGGGGCGGAGGAGGAGGCGGAGTCATGGACAGGGAAGGCAGCCATGTTCTTGCTGGGCTGGTCCTGCAGCGACTGGGAGCGGGGGACGGGGGCAGCGTATGGTTTGAGCGGGACGCGATGGGCCAGGTGGCTCTGTGGAGGGAGAGGCCGTGCGCACGGGGTCACGGAGGGGGCCTGCTTCCGGGGCTGGTGGGAGAGGGCCACGCCTGACACCCCAGCCCCTCCCTTGGCTCAGCTTCCCAGCCTCCCCCTCTGTCCGGCTCTCCCCTCCGGGAACACGGGGTCTGCAGCCTCCTGCTCCGGCCACTGGTAGGCAAGGGGTGAAGGGGGGCAGAGGGCAGCCAATGGGAGAAGCAGCCGATGGCAAGAAGCAGCTGGGATGGGGGGAGGAGGAGGAGGAGGCGGGAGCAGAGCAGAGGGGGGGAGAGGGCGCCTACCTTGTGCTGCCCCTCCTGGGGTTCGACAGGGCGCTGCATGGGGGGCGTCTGCGAGGACGAGGCCAGGGACCCCGGCTCGGCACAGGGCTGGGCGGCAGCGTCTTGCCCAGTGCCTCCCAGCTTGGCCTTGGCGGCCAGGGAGGGCGAGTTCTCCCTGTTGACGCAGCTCCGCTCTTCCACCTGCGGGCGACAGTGAGCTGGCCCACTGCTCCTCTGCCCCCCTCGGCCCCTCCCTGCCTCCCGCCCGGGCAGGCTCCTCGGGGGGAGGGCTCCTGGGGTACCTCACGGGCCCAGGGGGGCTTCTCGGGGGCGGCTGCGCTGCTGCGGTTGTGGTGGTAGAGGGGCTTCGGTTGCTGCTGCTGCTGCTGCTGTTGCTGCTGCAGGGACTTGAGGTAGGCGTGCTCCTGCTGGAGCTGCCTCTGCAGCCGCTCCGACTGCCGCTGCTCCTCCAGCTGCTTCCGCTTGTACTCCTGCAGGGGCGCAGAGGGGAGGCTGGCAGGATGGAGGGGGGGACGCAGCAGCCCCCGCCCAGCAGGCAACCCCCCCCCGGCCACCCCCACCTGCCTTACCAGCAGCAGGGCCTGTTCCTGCAGGAGCTGCTGCTGCAGGATCTCCAGTTGCCTCTGCTCTTCCTCCAGCTTGTGCCGGATGTACTCCTGGCGGTGGGGGAAGAGGGGGCGGAGCAGCCGGTGAGGAAGGGGCAGCAGAACCCCTCCCAAGAGCAGCAGCCCCTGGACTGCCAGCTCGCCTCAAGCAGGGAAGCAGGAATGCCCCACCGGTGGTCTCCCCACCACTGCCGGCGCCCCACCTGCTCCCGCTCGGCCTGCCGGCGCTCCTCTTCCCGGCGCATCACTTGCAGGTCCTCCAGGCGCCGCTGATGCTCCTTGCCCTGCAGCTTCCGCTGCTCCCGCTCTCGGCGCTGCTGCTGTGGACAGACGAAGGGGCAGCGAGCAGCTGAGTGGGGGTGGAGAGCCGGGGGGGCGCTCGCCGCCAGTGGGGCCGGCTCTGAGATAGCGGGAGATGGGGGAGATTGCCACGAGCCCGTCCCACCTCCTCCACTCGCCGGCGCTCCTCCTTCTGCTCCTCGATGCGGCGCTGGCGCTGGTGCAGCAGGTGCTTGATGTGGGCTTCGGAGTCGCGGTGCTGGGCGGCCAGCTGCTGCTGCAGCTTCAGGGCCTCCGAGTTGCTCTTGTTCTCCTGCTGCAGGCGGAGGAACTCCCTCCGCAGGGTGGACTCCCCGGGGACGTTCATGATGGAGCTGGGGGGGGGCAGAGGGAGGAGGGGGGGTCAGTCAGCTGCCAGAGTGCCAAGCGGCACGCCTGGCACTCCTTCCCCAGAGAGCAGAACCCGCCTCTCTGCCCTCCCTACCTTGGCTCTCCTTCCTCACCGCGCCCATCATCCTCTTCCTCACTGCCACTGTACTCGTACTCCGTCTCGTCTGCAGGAGGGAACAGCAAGAGGCAGCCCAGTGTAGGGCAGAACCCGGAACCCTCCTGCCCATCCCGGAGCCAGCCCTCCGTCCCAACTCACCCTTCTCCCCCCTCTTCTTGCGGGTGCGGTCGATGTGGTCCTTGAGCTGGATGCGGACCTGCCGCTCGGTGGGCTGGTCGCGGATGAAGGGGAACTTGAGCAGCTGCTCCGTGGGGGGCCGGTTGGGGTAGGCTTTGATCAGGCAGTTGTCAATGAAATCGATGAACTTCTTGGACCTGCCCCAGAGCGGGAGGAAGGGGCTGCGGTTACCCTGCTCCCCACCCCCTCCACGCCCCTAGGGCTCTCCCAGAGCCAGACAGCGAGTGGGGCAGCCCTGCTGGAAGACTCTCTATCAGGCATGGTGACCTCGGCCAGATCCTGTGATGGCAGCAGCCCCGGGAGAGGTCTCCCCCTGGCTTGCATGCTCCCCCACCCCTTCAGGAAACCAGGGGCTTCCATCTTGGACAAGACACAGTATTCCCCATGTCGCCCCCCCCTCCCGCCATCGTCCCTTGTTGCCTCCCAAGGGGAGCACGTACCATTTCTTGGACTTCAGCTTGGGTGGGGGATTGCGCGGGATCAGGAAGAGAGCACGCATGGGATGCATGTCGCACAGGGCTGCAAGAGGAGGAGAGGTGAGCAGAGCAGCGCCAGGGCTGACGGGCCCTCCCTAGAGAAGCAAGTGCCCCAGGATGCTGCCCCAGACACTCACGAGGGGCTCCTTCGGCCATCTCAATGGCAGTGATCCCCAGGGACCAGATGTCGCTCTGCAGAGGAAGGAGGGAGGGAGGGTGTCAGACTCCCTTTGTAGTGAAAGGTAGACTTTACTAAAAGCCAAGTGGGTTACAATAAAGCAAGTTCCCTCGTCAAACTTTCCTGGTTTCCCTGTCCGGTTCCTCTCCTCCCCTGGTTCCTTATTGCCCAATTATCTTTGAATAAATTGTTGACAGTCCCAGGCTTTGACCTTGAGATTTTGTCCCTGGAAGGAACGATGAGCCTGCAGCCTTCCCTCCCCCCCCCCCGTCCAGCTCCCTCCCCTGCGTGGTTCACGGCTGTCGACTGAGTGCTAAGCTCAAGCACTGGATGGCAGTTGTGACGGAGGGAAGAGGGTGGCTGACCCACGGCCCAGGCAGCCATCTCTCCCTCTCCCTCCTCTTTGCCCTCCCCAGATCCTCCTAGGTCTCATTCCTCCTCCCCCTGGCCACTCTGACACAAAAGATGACCCCCCCCACCCCCCCACCCTAGCAGGTTTACTTGAGACCTACTCTGTAGTCATACGTGGCATCTGGATTTTCATCACAGGCAATCACCTCCGGTGCCATCCAATAAGGGGTACCGATGAACGTGTTCCGACGCCCCACTGTGCGGTCCAGCTGGGCACTGACCCCGAAGTCGACTGCAGAAAGCAGAGAGAACAAGAGCAGCTTCACCCAAGGTGCAATTTCTGGGGTGACGGGACCCAACTTGCCACGGCCGGATGGCTTCCCTGGCCAGCCCTGGGCCTCTGCGAGGGCGGAGGTCCTGGAGGGGCTGCCTCAGGCTCCTGAGGGATCCAGAAGGTCCCCAGAGAGTGCCTGGCAGCAGGTCCTGCCTCACTCCCAGAGAGGGTCAGAAGCAGTCAGATCGTTGGCTAAGTCTACCCAAGCAGTCCCCGGTTGGTTGGGAGCCGAGGAAAACAAAGCAAGTTAAAAGCTAGCAGAGGAAAGTATTTGTAGCTCTGGGTTCAAATCAGGGGTCCCTGGTGCTCTCCGAGCCAGATTGCACACGATGTTATCCAGTTTGGCTAAAGAAACGTTTGCGCGAAGACAACACAGCTCGCAGAGCACCGAGGCTCCCCGGATTAAAATCCACCTAAAGCAACACCGTCAAACTCCGCAAGGGAGGGGGGCACTCAGAAAGAGTGGAAGTCTCCTCTGTGGGCTCAGAGGGCAAAGTGCTGCTTCTTCTCTGGGCTGGCTGCCCCTGCAGGTGCCCAGCCACCAAGGTTCCTCCGATCCTTACTTTACACCAAGGGTGTCAAACTCCCAATGTCGAACTCCCAATGTCGTGTGGTAGGTCCATTGCCAGCAATCGGGTGGGCGTGATTTTGCTATGATGCAACCAGCCCGTGGGGTGGCAGTTTGACACCCCTGCTTTACAGCCTCTGCAGCTCGACCACAGGAGCCCCCATGCCAGGAGCCCCCATTCCCAGGGATGTCTGAGAAACCAAGTCCAGGTTGGTCCTTGAGAAGGGGGTCTGCTGCAATTCCACACCTAGACACCCACACAGGCACCTGCGACTTACCTTGGGCAGAGGCCTTCCCAGGACCCTCCCCAGTCAGGCAGCCCTCTCCCCACAGGCATGCCCAGCCCTCCCTCCCTGTTGCTCCAGAGCTCCCTTGCAGCAGAGCCGGCAGCCCACCTACCCAGCTTCACCTCCGCGTTCTCCGTGAGCAGCACATTCTGCCCCTTGATGTCTCGGTGGATCACCTTGTGGGCGTGGAGGTGAGCCAGTCCCTGGTGGGGGGCAAGAGGGGGGAGGTCAGGCCTTGCGCAGGGGAGGGGAGGGAGGGGGTTGTAGGTCTGGCCCTGCCCGCACAGAGGTCCCACCGCCCCACGGGAGCCCTCACCCGGAGGATCTCCCGGCAGACGTAGGCGATGCAGTCTTCCTTCAGCGCGTTGCCCTTAGTGTTCTTCACCAGGTCCGTCACGGAGCCAGCACCGCAGAACTCCATCACAAGCTGGGGAAAAGGGGGGAAGGGGGAGGTCAAGGTGGGCAACGTCACAGCCCGGCCGGCCAGCCTACTGCTGTTGGGGACCCTCTCCCCCGCCTCACCCAGAGCTGGTCGTCATTCCCGGGAGGGCTCTTCTTGACAAAGGCCCCATAGTAGGTGGCGATGTTGCGGTGATGGGAGTACTTCTTCAGCATGTTGATCTCCTGCTTGATCTCCTCCTCTTCATCCTTTTGGGGGGAGGGGGACAGTGTCAGGGGAGCATCCCCCTTGCCCCACAGAAGTGCACAGCCATCCTCCGATGCGCGCCCAGCAGCCCAGCCTCCTCCTCCCCAGGAGCCCCCCGGCTGTCTCAGGGTGGCCCTGCCCGGCCTTCTGGCCCCAGAGGGAGGGAGGGCGCCTACCTCCGTGACATCCATGACCTTGATGGCAGCCAACTGCCCCGTCTTGACATGGCGGCCCTGGCAGAGGAGAAAGCAGGGGAGGAGGGAGTCAGCCACTTCCTGACAGGGAGGACGATTAACCAGTGGGCGCTCCATCCCTGGAGGTTCTTAAGAAGAGGCTGGACGGTCACTTGTCTGAGATGGCCTAGGTCCTCCTGCTTGAGCAGGGGGCTGGACTAGAAGACCTCCAAGATCCCTTCCAGCTCTATTCTACTCTGCCCTACCCAGGAGGAGGAACTGCGCTTGGCTCTGGCAACATGGGGCTGCCCCCCCCCCAGCGCTGAATCTCAAGGGAAGAGATTCAGGCCTCTTTGGAGGCACCTGCTGCGTTGTGAGCTCCTGGCGCCAGCAGAGGGAGCCCAGGAGTCATCCTGGCTGGCTTTCCCAGCATTCTGGTTCTTGATTTTCCCCTTCTATCATAGCCATGGGGAGGGAAGGTTGGCACTGCGGGGGGGAGGGGGGGACAGCTGCTTCCCACCCTGCCTCTTTCACTGTGGAAGAGCTCAGCAGAGCGGCCCTGGGACAGGAAAGGAGGGAGGCTGGCGGGATGGGACTCCAAAACATGCCCCAGGGTCCCTGTTGTTTTTAAGGCCCCCCCCCCTCCATGGGCACTCCTGCTGGACCCCGAGGTCAAGCTGACACGGCCGAGGGAGGAACCCAGCATGCTGGGTGGGGAGAGCGCCAAGGGCTGGCTGGAGGGTCTGAGTCCCCAGGCTCTCATCTGCACCCCTCTTCACAGCCAGGCTGCCCTTGACTCAGTGGCTGCATGACTGCAGAAAGGGGGAGACATCCCCCCCCTTCCAGCTCTGCACCGCTGGGCAGCAGCCTCACTCCTGCTCAGACCCCACCGGGTGGGCCCAGTTGGAGGAGGGGAGCCACGGGGCGATTTCCCAGAGCCCCCCTGCCCTCAGCCGAGTGTTGGCATTGTCTTCTCTGCCACACAGCCTGGCGTGGGCAGCTGTTGCCTGGCAACCGCCTTCCGCTTCCTTTCAAGGGGACCAGTGCTGGAAAGGCCCCCCCTCCCCTGAAGTGTGAAGGGAACGATCTGGTACACCTCCTCCCTGCCCCCGCCCTGCAGGGAAGGGGGAAGGGTGGGCTGCAGCCGCCCACCCCCACCACGTTCTCAAGGGGGCCCCTCCCCCCTGCAGTTAAGGCCATAGGCAGCACCCACAGACCGAAAAGGCCCCCCAGGCTCCCCGAGAGCTGCAGGGAGGCCAGCGAATCCCCCCCTGAGCAGGGAGGCCCCCTCCCCACAGGGTGGGAGGCCTGAGCGCAAGGAAGCCCAAGGCCGGCCTGGCCCCCTTCTCCGAGGGTCCAGGGGGCAGCCAAGGAAGGGGCAGCCCCCCCCACCCTGGAGACCCTTTCAGGCGGGGGGGACCAGCCAGTGTCCCCCCATCACAGGAAAGGCCCAGCCTTCCCCCAAGGCAGCCCCATGGAGAGAAGGGAACACCTCACTAACAAGGCTCCCCCCTCCCCCCTCCAGGGAAGAGGGGCACGAATTAACATCTGCATCAGGCCTTGAGTAATCAGGAGAATGAATGTCCTGGCTGAGAAAACTGCTACCCACCCCACATCCCCCCCCTCGGTCACTCACCTTGTAGACCTGCCCGTAGGTCCCATTGCCGACCACCTCCACCAGCTCAAATATGCCGGCAGGGTCCTGCGGAGGGAAGAAGGTGCCGGATGAAAGCCTGGCAGCTGCCCGGAGGCCAAGTGCACCCTGCCCATCAAGGCCTCGGCCCAGGCGGGGCTGGCTCTGCCGCAGGTGACCCATCCCTGGGCAAGGGGAGGGACCACCGCTGAGCCCCCCCGGGATGGTCTGGCTCTGCCGAAGCTCCCCCCCTGCTGAGGACACCCCCCCCACGCACACACACATTATCAAATGCCAGTGTGGCCTCCCAGCATTACCAGATGTGTGTCTGTGAGGAGCGTGCAAGACAGCTGAGCTCCCTACACAAAACCTAAGAAGGCCCCTCCCCAGAGTCTTGTGCATCTTATTCTAACAGGCCTCGTTACTCCGTGCCCCCATGCCCGTCCCCCCATCCCCCGGCTACATGCGGAGGCCCATCCGCCTGGCAGCCTTCTGTGTGGAGCGAGAGAAAGGGAGGCCAGTGGGGGGGGGCAGAGAGTCCGGGAGCCCTGGTGCTAAAGATGGGGGTTGCTCCAGAGCGGACGCCGCCCTCAGCCCCCAAACCCATTCTGCCCAGGGCGCCTCTTCCCCTCCCCCCTCCGGGTGCAGCCCAGGGACTCCCTCTCCCGCCCCACCTGGGCGCCCGGAGGGCCCCCCTCGGCCACGCCAGCCTTTGCCCGAGGGCAACCACGGAGGGGCCAGCAGGGCTGTGTCCTGCCACGGCTTCTTGCGTCCCCAGTTCGCCTCCTGCTGCTTCCTCCAGGCGCTGCTCCCCCTCATCCGTCCCCACAGCTGCCCCACTTTCTTCCTTGTCCCTGGCGGAGCTTTGCCTAAAATCTAGGGTAATGGCCTCCTGTGCTGGTGGGCCAGATCCCCCAGGACGGGTATTAATAGCCTCTGCTCAGAAGGAGGGGCTGGGCCGGGCGGGGTGAATCCAGGCCGGGGTCCTCTGAGGCTCCCTGAAAAGGTGGTCCAGGCCGGGCCCCTTGCCCACAGCCACAGGGCAGAATCGCCCAGAGAAGCCCAAAGTCACAACATGCCCCCACGTTCCTCTCCAGGACCCTCAGCTCAGGACTCTGCGCCTGGGGGGGGGCTGAACCCAGGGCATCAAAGCCGAGCACGTAGCTTGGGCAGCTGCTGAGAAGGGAAAGCGAGAACCAGCACAATAGCGTGTGTGTGGGGGGGGAGGTCCCGTGGCTGCTGGCCGTGGGCTCTGGGCCAGGGAGACTCTCCTGCCCTTAACAGAACCCCAAAAAGCGGCCCCCCGACCAGGGAGCCCCCTGCTCCTCCTCCCCCACAGGTCTACGCTGAGCCCGGGACCCCAGCCTTGGCCAGAGGGCTGCTCTCTTCTTGCTTCCCCCATCCCAGCCTGTGGACCCCCCCAGGCAGGACGGGGGCTGCCCCCCTCTTCTGAAGCCAGGAAAGCGCTCCAGAAACCCCCAGCGAAAGGAAGCACTTTTGCGGGGTGCAACAGCCAGTGTGCCATCCCAGAAAGCAGCCAAAGCACCCCAAACTCACAAGGCCAGCAGAGTCCTCTCAGCACCCCATCTGTGCTGGGGGGCATCAAGGAAAACGGCTGCTTTTTGCTCCTTTGACAGGTGGCTGCCCCCCAGGCCCCGAGAAGGAAGAGGCTTTCTGACACCCCCTCCCCAGGTCCCTGACCCCTCCCCTGCTGAGCCCCCCCAAAGGGGAAAGAGCACGAGAGCTCAAGCAAAGGGGGGAAGCCGAAGGTTATTGTGGGGGTGGGGGGAAGGGAATGGGGGTCAGTCCCTTGCAGCCTTCATTCAAAGGTGGAGGATGGGGAGCCAGCTCAACCCTCTCACATGGGGGGGGGTGTTTGGGGGTGGCTGTGAGTCAGCAGAAAGACCAAGGAGGACCTGTGCTAATAGCTCCCCCCCCTCCCTCCACAGGCACAGCCCACGCCAGGCACAGGCACTGGGTGGGGGGGGGGGGAAGGAATGGAATCTGCTGGAGACAGTCAGAAATGCCTGTTCACCTGCAGTCAGTCGGCAACCGAACCGGCCCCCCTGCACCACAGCAGGAATCCATCTGGGTCTCTCGCAGCCCCCCCCCCTGTATGCAAACAAGGCCTTCCACAGCGAAGGAGGGAAGCTGCATCCTTCTTCCAAGTCAGCCCCAAGCGGGGCCCAGTGCCAGGCCTTGGGGAGGGGGGGGCGAGAGAGGGACTCCCTCGGCCTTCCTGGCAGATGACGGGATGAGGAATGGCGCCTGCAGCGTGGAAGGCAACCTTTGCTCCAGAAAGCGGGCAAGGCAGCTCCCCATCCCCACCCAGTTCAGTTCTACAGATGGCATGCCGCCTGCCAACTCTGGGCCGGCTCTTCCGGGCTGCCATCTCCTCTCCTCCAGGGTCCAGAGCAGGGAAGGGCCAGGGTCTTCCCAGGCTCTGCATCCCCCAGGTCAGCTGCCCCCTCAAGGGAAGGGACTCTGCTGCCGCTTCCCACACAGAGGGGGGCTCCCCCAAGGCCCGGCTGGGCTCCTGCCTTTTCAGAGAGGCTGCAAATGGTGCCCGGGTGGGGGAGGAAGCCTGCCTGCCTCCGCCCCCACTGAGGCTGCCTTCATCTCCATGGCAGCCTTCTTGGGGAGGGGGCAGCTATGGCTCAGCTCAGCATAGGGGCCAGGACTGCCTGTTCCCGGCTGCTGCAGCAGGGAAATTTTGGGGTGGCCTACGAGCTTCCACCTCCCATCATGAAGGCTGGACTGGAGGCTGCCTCAATTTCCCCAGGCAAGCCAACGGCCAGTGGAGAGAGGGGAGACGGGGGGGGGGGAGAAGGGGTTTACATCCACCTGCCCCACCAGCACTGCTTGCCCTTTGGGACCCTCAGGAATTTCAGCCCAGCCCCCTGCCATAAAACGAATCTTGGGGCTCATCAACCATGCTGGCTCTCTGCCCCAGTGGCCCCCTGCCACCCCAACCCTGCAGCTCAGTCTGCCAGTAAGACCCCACCTCCCCTCCCTGACTGAGGAGGGCGGCCAGGAAGTGCACTCCCGCCCTCAGCAGCGCCTGGCGTGCCCCATTCCCTCCTCTGACCTTTGCGAGGCCTGGGCTGGCTGGCAGAGAGCAGAGGGGGCTTCCCCGGGAGGGGGGAGGCTTGGGGCCTGTCACCCTGCTCAACGCTGGAGCCACAGATTCTGCTTCCTTTGCAGCAGCAGCTGCTGCCGGCCATCGGCCCCCCTGCCGCTCCCCCCCAAGAGGTGCCAGGCCAGCCCGTGGGCAAGACAGGGGCATGGGACGCCCACCGGCTGGCCGGCCTTGTTCCCCAGCCACACAGAGGCCGCAATTCAAATGACCACCTGCGGCTGGAGGCCAGGCCACCGTGGCCCCTTTAACCTGCGGGGCTTGGGCGGCTGTCCCCCTCCGGGGCGGGTTGGGAGTCTCTGGGCCTCCTGCGGGCAGTGCCCAGAGGCATGTGGGAGCCTGTCTTGCGTTCCCACACACGAGGGGTGAAGTCCTGCCAAGGTCACAGGTTGGAGGGAGAAATCCACCGGAAGCAAGGCCAGAGGCTGGGGTCCAGCCTGTATCAGGGGACCAAAAATTGGCTCTAACCCCCACCCAAGAGGCTGTGAGGGAGGCTTTCTATGCAGGAACATCAGCTGGGAGGGAGGGAGGGAGGGAGGGAAGGAAGGAGGGAGGGAGGAAGCAGCCCTGTCAATGTGCCCTAAGCCAGAGCGAAGAAAAGGGCCAAGGAGGAGGAGGCCTTGGGAAGCCCTGCTGCCTGACCAGGCTCCTGCTGCGGGGGAGGGGAGGGGAGGAAGGGGAGGGCCAGGTCCCCATTTCAGGGCCTCTTCCTAGGCTGGCCCAGGACGGCCTCCCCACCCACCCCCTGCAGCCAGTGTTCCTCCCACTAGGTGCTGATTCACCCAGCCGGTCTGGGCAGGTCCACCCTCGACAAAGAAAGTGGCCCCACCCTCCACACCTCCTGCCAGGTGGGGGAGCCCAAACCAGCCGAGCAGCCCCGGTGGCAGCAGCCAGGAGGGAGCCGGCCAGCCTGCCCCACCTCTGGCAAGCGCCTTGGAGCTGGCATCCCTGGGCTTCCAAGACCGGCTGCCCTTCTGCCAATGGGCAGGCGGGCCGAGCGCCACTGGGGTCCCCCGAGGCCCGCTACAGGAGTGGCCCCCCAAGTGGCCCAGCAGGGAGGCTGCTCCCCACAGCGGGAGGCCCCCTCCCCCTCCCAGCTGCAGGAGACAGATGCTGGGACACCCTTCACCCGCTTCGGGCTTGGCGGTCAGCCGTCCCGAGGGCAGCACCTGGGCAGCCTGGCCGAGCACGCAGCAGGGCCTGCCGGATGCAAGGAAGAGGCGCTCGCAGCCTAGGCAAGCGTGAAAGGGGGGATTGTGATTCAATTAAGGCCAACATGCTGCAGTCAACAAGTTCTCCCTAGCAACAAGCAGGCATGGTGGTGGCGCTAGCCAGCCCAGCACCCAGGTTCCTTTTCAGACCGGCTGGGAGGCCGGGCGAAGGGAGCAGCCGGCTTGGGCCCTCCTGACGCCTGAGCCACTGAGGAGGGACGAAACAGCGGAGGGGAGGGGAGCAGCCTGAACGCCCAGCGCTGGGCCTGGAGAGATAACAGCGGCTCCTCTCCCCCCCAAAGCAGAAGCACCTCCCCTTCCTCCCCCCCCAGCTTCAATCAGAGAGCAGGTGCAGCGCAAAATCAGCCCCCCCTCCCAGTGTTCCTAATTAATAGGATGGGAAATTTCCATCCACGGCCATTTAATCAGGCCAGCAGCCCAAGACAGGCGGAGGGGGTGTCCTCTTGGGACAGGAAAGCAGAGCAGAGGGAGGGAGGGCAGGCCGGCCTCTGTGGGGAAGCTCAGCCCCTCTACAGCAGGGATCCAGGTAGGCACCCCTCCTCGGTGGGGGGGGGCTGCCCTGGACTACCTGGAGGGTCAGCAAGGGCAGCAGAGCAGCCCTCTCAGCCTGTGAAAGCAGAGCAAGGCTGTCCCATGGGGACGCCAGTCGCTCTAAAGGACACCCCACTCCCAAGTGGGAACTCCGGGCGGGGGGGAAACGCTCCCTAAGGCCAGGGCCCCCAGATAAACTCATGGCTCTTCCCAACTTCCTTTTAAGCCAAGCAGCTCCAAGTGGGGCTTGGCTACCCCACTCGCTAGGGCGGGGAGGATGGCTGGGATGGGGGGGCTGTAAACAGAACGGCCCCCCTTCCCTATTTTGAAGAGCCACAATCTGACCCTGGACCGGCCACAGGAAGCCTCCTCAGGAGCCCGCCCTGAAGGCCAGCCACCAGAAAGGGGTGTGTGGCCGGGGCTCGGTCCCCGCTGCTGCCTCTCCCCCCCAGCTTGCAGGGCCTGTCCAGGGGGGCAACCGGGGCCCCACAAGCGAATGACAGCCAAAGGAGCCCTCTCCCCACTCACCAGGCCTCCCAGCATCCTCCCTTCCGACCCAGGGGAAGCCCCGCACGTCTGCCCTCCGCCACCCGTCTGGGGGAGGTCAGGGCCTCAAGGACGCTGCCAGCCTCCCAAGAAAAGTCGCCCTGCCGCTTCCCTTTCCCGGGCTCAGGGCTGCAGCTCCAGCTGTGCCATTCCCTCCACACCTGGCCGGCTCCCCCCTCCTCCCCCCGCCGCCGCCCAAGGCCGCAGAGGCCAAGGCCGCCTTTCCAGGCCCCGCTCCCTTCTGGGGCGGGATCCCCGTGGCGGGGAGGGCGGCTGAATGCCAGGAGCCGGGTCTCTCCCGCCAGAGGCCGCCCGCCAGTGACCCGGGGCCCAGGCCGGCTGCCCAGTCGGCCTCTCGGCTCTGCCTTCCGGGTCTGCTTCCCAGGCTCTCCTCGGGTGGGAAAGCCGGGGGGGGGGGCGAGAGGGCAGCCCCTTCCAGCGGGGACCCGCCGAGCAGGAGCCCCCGCTGCAGGCGGCCGGAGGGAAGGGCCGAGCGCTCTGCCCAGAGGCTGCCCGCTCCCCCGAGGGACGCTGCCCGGGGCCCGGGCTGGGCTCTCGGCCCGGCTGCCTCCTCGGGGCTCCCCTGACGCGGGCCCGGCCCGGCCCGGCCCGGCGCCAGCACAGCCTCTCGCTCCCACCCTGGACCGGGGGGGCCTCCGGGGGCCTCCCCCCCCACGGGACCCAGCTGGGATTGGCTACTCATGGCTGCTGCTGCTCTTACCGGCTGCCCCCCCCCCCGCCCTGCTGCGCCTCCCGGAGACGAAGCGCAGCGCTCCGGGGCGGCAGGAGGAGCAATCAGGCCGGGCGGGGGGGTCGGTGGCTGAGCCCCCCCGCCAGGCGCTCTCCTACCCCCTCCCCGCCCCCTACAGACACCGCGTCTCCTCCGACGAGCCTCCCCCCCGTCGGGCTGGGCTCCAGGGTCCCGGCGGCGGCGCTACTGGCTCGGCCTGTCCCCCTCGGAGGCTCCGGGGCGGCGGCGAGGTGGGGCCGGTCCGGGCGGGCCGCACGCTCTTCCCCGGGGCAGGGGGCGCGGGGCTCCGGCGCAGGGGGGCCGTGGCGGAGGCGGCCTGGGCCGGCCAGACCCCGAGGCCCGCGGCGGGGGAGGCGGAGGGCGCCCCACTCACCCGCAGGGCGGAGAGGTCGATGTCGTCGAGGCTGCGAGCCGGGGCCGGGTCGGCCATGGCGGCGGCGGCGGCGTTCTCCTCCTCTTCCTCCTCCGCGCTCGGCTACGGGCCCATCGCGCCGCCCGCCTGCCCGGCCGAGGGAGCGAGCGACCCTCCAAGCGCTCCGACTCAGCGGCGCCCTGACGAGCGGGCCACGCACTGCGCACGCGCGGAGGTTTGGGGGGCGGGGCCTCCGGTCCAGCCTTCGCGGAGCTCCGTCGCCGCTCCGCCCCCCCTTCGAGGGAGGGGGAGTCGAGAAGGAGCGCGCGCAGGCGAGCATGCGTGGAATCGCTGGTCGCTCGGCAGCGGGGTGGCGGACGGAGCGGCTCTAGGGCACTTCCGGCGGAAGACGGTCATCGGGGAAGAGGCGCGGTGGCCCCATGTGCCGGGCGGCGGGAGCGCTTAGAGCCCGGCAGACCCCGGCCCACATTTCCCCCACCCCCCAATAGATCACCCCCGGCAAAGCAGACGCGGGACAAGGACGCGCAGGCGGAATGCGTGTTTATTGAACGTGTAGAAATGCAGAAAGACCGCAGCTGGCGATTGAGAAGTGCGCGACCCCCTACGGCCGTGGGGATCCCCCTCGACTCGGCAGCCGCGGCCCCCCTTCGCCAGATGTCCGCAGGCCTGGCCAGGGCAGCCGGTCCGAGCCCCCTTCCAAGCGGCCCGAAAGCTGCGGGCATCCCCGGAACCTGATCTGCTGCCTCCCCGCGCTCACGTCCACACCTCGGTGGGGATCATGCCCTCCTTGCAGTTCAGGGGCGGCAGGAGGTGCTCCTCGGCCAGGAACTCCAGCGGGAAGGTGACCAGGAGCCCCCGCAGCGCCTGCAGCCGGTCCCGCGCCCGGGCCGGATGGAGCGAGGCCAGGCTCTCCACTGCCACGTGGTCGCGCAGCGCCCGGTGTGACCTCACGGCGTCGGTGGGAAGGCAGCGGAAGACCTGCGGACGGCGGGGGCGGGATGGAAGGGGAACAGGGTCATCGCCCCGACCAGGAGGAGGCGGGGACGTCTGTGTGGGACAGGACGGCTCTGCTCAGCACCCCCCAAAAAGATCCTGAAAGAAGGGACCCAGATCCCCTCACTCCCCCGCATACACGCACACTCCGCTCTTCCTCCGAGCCTGCAGCCAGCAACTCTGGCTGGGACGGTAGCAGGAAAGGAGCTGAAACCTCTGCCTGGTATCCCCCCCCCATAATTCCAGGGCTGGGTTTATGGGCCGGTGCTCATCAGCCCAGCCAACTGGGAGCAGAAATCCACAGGACTGGAAGTTGATTTGCAAATCGGAGTAAGAGGGATCTTAATAGCATGCATGTTCTCGTACCTCTACATGTGAGACCCCCACCCCAAATCCTAGGCACTTGCCTCCTCATAAATACTGCTATTGGCTAAGGCTCCGGCACACCAGACGCCATGGAAGAAGCAGTCGCTGATGGGGTCTTGAATGCCGACGTCGACCCCCAAGATACACCTGCCAGGGAGTTTTCTTTTTGCAGCTGGCTGGGCAAAATGGACCTGTAGAGAGCAGGGCTTCCCCCCCCCCCCGCCGCCCTGGGCAGCTGGAGGACAAGGATCGTGCTGCCTGGCATCTGCTGGGCCCTCCTGTCAGCTCCGTGTGGCCCCCGAGGGCTCTCTTCTGCCCCATCCACCCTCCCCCAATCTCTGGGCTCTTTGGGTTTTGTCGGGCGAAGGGGGGGTTGCCCTTTCTGCCCCTGCAGCGCTCACCTGAAGCACTCGAGGCGCAGGCTCAGCGTGAACTTCCCTGCCGCGTACTCCTGACCGCCCATGGTGGACGGCACCAGCTCCGTGTCCTCCACCAGTACCGCCAGCTCACTGTCACGCTTCCCCAGCAGGCTGCGGTCGTTGATGTTGGCAGAACCTTTGGGCGGAAGGGCTGTGAAGTGAACCCTTGAAGGGCTTGGATGTCCCTGCCCTCCGCCCCCCCCCCCCGCCTGCAAGCCTCCCCACTCACCAATGATGACGCGCCGGTCGTCCGCAATGAGCATCTTGCTGTGGATGTAGACCAGCTCCGTGAGAAGGACGCCCTGCAGCTCCCCGTGGGTCCGAAGGCCGCAGAAAGAGACGTAGTTCCTCCAGCCCTCCCCCACTTTTGAGGTGGGAGGGAGAGAAGAAGGGAGATGTCAGCCCTGAGCCCCCCATGTACCCCCCTCCCAGCAGAGAGCCAGGCCTCACTCCTGGGGTGGGGGTCACGAGGGGCTCCAGGGCGAACTCTGCTCCATTCCGCCGCCCCCCCACTCACTGACTGCCTGGAGGCGACTGACGATGGACGACTCCCCACGGCAGAGAGTCCTGCAAAGGGAAGAAGGGGTCTGAGCGCTCTTCCGCCTCCCTCCCCACGGCTGGTTCCAGGGGGGAGCCGGGTCTTGGGCCCCTGAGCCCCGGGGCCAAACTCACCGGTAGATGAAGTGAAGAATGGCTTGGATGGAGTTGCTGCCTCCCTGCGCGATGTCCCCCTCAAAGCCAGGCAGGAGGGGGAGCAGCACATACACCCTGAACGGCTTCTTCTCACTGCAGTGGGGGAGACATCCCCCCGTCAGACGATAAGGCGGGGGGGGGGAGATTTCTCCCTGCCCCCAACTCCCCCGCATTCTTGGCACTGGGAGCCTCTTTTCAACCGGGGCCTTTGGCTCGGAAGCTTTTCTGAGCAGGGATGGGGGGCTGAAGGGGGGGCTGGGCTGCTGGCGGCTTCACGCCGAGAGCTGGTTGGGTCTCGTGAAGGCGCGAGGCCAGAAAGCGGGAGACGGTGGGTTCAGCTCCCCCTTGGGCATGGAAGCTGGCTGGGCGACCTTGGGCCGGCCGCTATCGGCCCAGCCCGCCTCGCAGTGCTGTTGTGGGGAAAAGAGGAAGATGTGTTGGGTGTGTTCGCCACCTTGAGATTTGCCTCTGCAGCTCACAACCCCCCCGCCCCTCCCTCAAAGGAAAGGGGGCAGCCAGGGCTCCTAACACGGTTCCCTCCCCCTCTGGGGCTGCCTGGAGTCTCTCTCATCCTGGACGCAGAGCAGCAGGCATTGAAGGGAGCCCCACTGTTTTGGAATCACCTCAACAGCCAAGCAGCCCCCCCTTTGGCTGCTGCTGGGGGTGGGTGGGGGTGGGCTTTCCACGGCAGCAGGGTCAAAACAGGAGGTGCCAGAGGCAGGTGGGCCTGGCCTCAGCAGGGAGGGCAGCTGGGTGCCACCAAGGGAGCCGAGCCTGCAGCAAGAATGTCCTTTGGGATTGGGTGGCATATAAATAAATTAAATAAATAAATGTGGGCAGGGCAGAGGGGCTTCCAAGAGGCCTTCCCTGGTGCAGGGGGGAGGGGGCAGGAGGAGGGCTTCCCTGCTTGCAAGATTCTGTTAATGTAACCTTGCAATTAAGTTTTAATTAGCTCGTCTGCCCTGCTTCCTTGTCTGGTTTGCCCTACAAGGCTGACGAGAACCTGGCAGTACTTTTCCAGATGGGCACAGCAGTCTGAGCATGTGCAAAGAGGCTCCCTCCACGAACATGGCACATCTCTGGTAACCTGGATGCGTTAGCCTCCCCCCACCCCCATTTGCCAAACCCACCTGTGGGCCAGCAGGATCCGCTGCACGACCGCATCTCCTACAGTGTTGAGCACCGAGCGCCCGTCTGTGCAGCTGATGAAGAACTGGTTCTGCCGGGGGGGAAGGGCAGAGGGGTCCCTTTCAGACCTGTCCTGCCCCACAAAGGCCTGGGGAACATTTCTCTGACGGAGCCATCCCAGGCTGCCCGGCCCTGCTCTATCCTACCTCGATGTACAGGTAATGCTGGCTGGTCCTGATGACGTCCAAGTAGGCGTTGTAAATGGAGCATTCGTGCAGGCCGGCTGACCACCGGTCCACGGAGCGCAGCACCTGGGGGCGCAGCCAGAGTCTTCTGGGTCAAAAGGAGTGGGCTGGGACACTGTCCCCCCCGCTGCCCCTCCGTCTCCTGGGAGCCCTTGGATGTTCTTTGGCTGGGGGCTCCTCTGCTCCCCCTTCGAAAGGTCCTGACCTTTTGAGCACCAAAAGCCAGAAGGGGCGAGGGGCGTGCAGAAGCAGCCTCTTCAGCCGGACCCCCACATGCCGCCTCTTGTTCTCAAGCAAGGCACCCAATGCGGCCCCCTCAGAAGCCCCCAGACCTGTCCCTTTCCAGCCACTCTGACCCCTCACCTGGACATCGCACACCTGGGCACCGGGCACGAGAAAGGGAAGCCGTGGAGCGATGTGAGGGGACTTGGGCAGCAGGTAAGGGTACTCGGAGCCTTTGTACTTGGCCTTGATGGTCTAGGAGTAGAAACGGGGGTCAGTGGCCCCAGATCCCCGGCCCCTTTTCTTGGCTGCTTGTTCAGCGTGCAAGAAATAGGGTGAACGTGCAGTGGTGCAACCGCTCACATGCGCATCCCAGCCAATCTCTGTAATGTTGATCGCTCTCTGAGTAGTGATAAGTTGGGAAATGGACATTGACAGTTATCAATAAAGAGTCCACGCCAGCCGCGCAACCGAAGAATGGCAGGCATTCCAGGGGTAGGCAACTTTGGCTCTTTCATGACTTCAACTCCCAGACTGGCTCAGGAATTCTGGGAGTTGAAGTCCACCAGTTATCAAGGGAGCCATAGTTTCCCCCATGCTGGCTCAGGAATTCTGGGAATTGAAGTCCACCAGTCATAAAAGAGCCAAGGTTGCCTACCCCTGTCCTAAACCATGCAACGAACTTTGATAGGCACATAAAAGTGGCACTTATTAAGCAAGAGGCGGGAGAGACAAAATTGGGCATGGGGAGCTCCCTGCCCCCCTCCCCATAGCTCTGTGATCAGCCTGGTGGGAGACAACTCCCTGCCCTCCCCCCCTCCCGGGAATCGAAAGAGGAGGGGGAAGTTGGAGAGCCGGGAGGGGGGGGTTCAATCTGCCTCACACTGCTGCTCCTGGCTTAACTGAAGCTGCGCAGGAGGGGACCCCCAGAGGGGCTGACCGTCAAAGCCGTGGGGTGGGTGCAGAAGTTGGGGATCTGCCATCTTTCCTGTCAGCCAGCCAAAGCAGTAAACATAAATATTAGGAGGACTTTTCCAGCTCCGCAAGCCGCCTGCTGCTGGCTCCCACGTGAAGTGGGGACTCCTGTTTTCCTCTGGGGTCTTCCCAGAGAAATGCTTTGCAAGGGGGGGAAGACCA